CTTCATCAAGGACACATATTAATCAATCTCCTAAATACTAATGTTCTGGGATCATTTTATTTCACTTTAAATACATAGAATCTACTTTTTGTTCTAGTAAATATCTAAGGGTAGACTTTAATTACAGTAAAGCCCGTTTTACATACGTATATTTTTTGAGAACTGGCAATGAACTAGTATATATAGGGTTTTACCTTGGTTTTTCAAAAGCATTCGTGTTTTCTTTGCTATTATCTCTGTAACTCATCTATGAAGAAATAACCACCAGGACATTGTGAGGATAAAAGAGAAAGAGCTATTTTTCTCAGCTACATACTGGTTGTTTCATTTTTTTAATGTTGCCTTTCAATATTCCAATTGTTTGAGTGTACTCACTGCTACAAATACATGCAAAGCATCCTACCTGGCTATTCAGAAGCTGTATAGTTGCAAATTATATATCTACAAAATATCTTCATTTTAAAATTTGGTTCATATATGTTGACAGAACAAGATTCTGAGCAAAAGATTAGCAACCCTGAAGGTATTTCATTAAGTGTCAAAACCTGATGACTTTGTTCTGATCTTACAAACCTTCTTCACATAAAGTTCATCTTATGCTGTGTAATACTTTACTCTTTTTATGAAAGTTCATGTACTATATTCCAATAAACTCATGGTAACTTTACAGATAGATAATTTGGGCAATATTGCCATATAAAAATTTAGTAAGCTAAAATTGGGAGAAATTAAATTCCTTCTTTAAGTCACCAAACTGGTTAATAACCAGACAAAAATAAGAGTCAGTTTAGTTCAATTCTAATGCAAGTCTCCTTCATAATCTTTATGCCTAGTTTTTCATCAAGGCAGAGACATAACTGCAATTTTTCTGTCACCTTACCAAACACAGAATAAATGAGAAATTATAAAATGATATTGAAAATATTAAGACTAATATAAACAATGGCTATAGGTAAAACACAATTATAACTGAGAATAGCATCAAAATTATTAAGAAACTTAGATTTACTGGTGTTGACTATTTTTTGAGATAGCTTGAGATTTTAGCTGGAGGGTTTGATTATGTAGTAGGTTAATGTTGTTAGTATTTCTTTAACTTAATTGAGCAACAGTTAGTTTGTTATCAGGTCATCATAGTAGACTTATTAACTATTGTTTTTACATATCACATAGTCTTCAAGGTTTTTGTCTAGCCCTATTTTTGGATTGGGCAAAAAGTTTGTTTGTTTGTTTGTTTTCTGTAAGATGGCTCTAGTAGTGCTTACAATTGTTTTGAATGAAGTCTTTAACTTTATTCAAAATAATTTTGTTAAGTCATATTGTGACAGCTGTCATATCAGCATGCATTAAAGAATCTTATCAAAATTGGTCAATATTTGATAGCCATTTTAATGTTGAAGATGGAAGAAAATATGCGACATTTTGGCACATTATGCTTTATTATTTCCAAAAAGGTAAAAATGCAATTGAAACACACAAAAAGATTTGTGCAGTGTATGGAGAAGGTGCTGTGATGGATTGAATGTGTCAAAAGTGGTTTGTGACATTTTGTGCTGGAGATTTCTTGCTGGACAATGCTTCATGGTCAGGTAGACCAGTTGAAGTTGACAGGAATCAAACAGAGACATTAACTGAGAACAGTCAACATTATACCACACAGGAGATGTACCATATTCAAAATATCCAAATCAATAAAGTTATTGGTGAAATGAAAAATATATGTTTTGTATTTTATGGAAAAAAACTAAATGGATTTTTTGGCCAACCATCAATACACACTATAGTATACAAAACACCATGCTGCAGTTCTTCCAGCTGTGGAACTAAAGAACAATGTGGCTACAGATATGAACATCCATTAAGAGTCTGAGTTTATCTTGTTCACTGAACAAACTACCCCTATTCACCTATAATAAAATTGTTCCATAGCGACACACCTGGAAGCTTTTAGTCAAGTGGTCTTTCAGCTACACTGTATTCCATATGTTTGGAAAATGATTGGTAAATTTAGCTAACTAAATCACATAAAAAGGCCAGGTTTCATAAGCATTATTTTAAATACCACTTTTTTGAAAAACATTGCAGAGTAAAATGAAAACTCATGATGCAAATTAAATCATTCAAGTAAGTAACCTCTCCCTAAGTTTGTGGGGAAAGCATTTTAAGGAACTCAATGTTTCTGTCAATGTTTTATATGCTAGTATTCTCTCAGAGTTGTTTAGGCATATTTTCTATTTAAAAGAAAGTAGCATCATTATATGATAGGGATTATTTTCCAATCCAGTCTTCCCCCCATGTGTTATGAACTTAATAAATTGTATTTATTGAACTTCTGCATACCTTTCTATTTGACTTTCCAAGGATTTGATCAATTACCTGATGAATTTAATGAATAGTCCATCTGCATTATTATCAAAAGTAACATGGTTTTCCCATAAACTTAGAGAAAGTTTGCCTATTTCATCATGAGTTTTCATTTTACACTGCAGTATTTTTTCCAAAATTGAAAAAAAAAAGTGGTGCTAAAAACAATGCTCCTTAAAGGTGACCTTTTGATGTCACTTCAATGAGTCAGTGGATCTTGCCTCTGAGGTTCATAAGGTCAGATTAATCTTCAGGATTTAGCATAATAATCAAGAAAAACATAAACCATTAAGGAAAGATTACATCATTTAGGGCTGCACTTTTGGGGTTAATGCTGTCTATAACATCCTTTCACAACCTCTCAGCTTTTTCCCTAATTTTACATTTTATAGTTAGGTTTTACAGTTATCTTAACAGAGTTGTCAGCTTAACTGAAAGAAACAAGGGAATTTCAACTGAGTTTTAAACTGAGATCAGTATTACCAAAATAGTACAATTTGTCCTGAATGCAAATCTCTTTTCTGTCAAAAGCTCAAGAAACAGATTTTTAGTATCATGCCTACACATATGATACACGTGTCCTCGCATATTTAAGAGTAAAAATAAGCAAGACCTTTAAGTAGTGACATTTTCTGGATCTTTCCTCTAAGCTTTCAAGAAGAATTTGTCTCTGATGACTTAATTCAACCTAAACAACGTAAAATCTGTGAACCTAATGACTGACTGAGGTTCTGGTCTCTTTTTCACTGAGATTCAGACTTAAGATAATTAAGCAGCATAGTTACTCATTCTCTACTTACACCAAATAACCCATGCCGCGTGTCTTCACAGCTGAGTTAGTTGTGTGTACTGAATAGCAAAAGGAATATCTCTAGGGTACAACTTCCTGTTGTCCCATCAAGGTGCATTTTTGTCACTGATATCGCAGCAAATTTGCTGCAGTAGCAATAGCACAAACATTTGAAACCTTAGATCCTCTTTGCATCATAGGTGAGGTCTTTCCCAAATCTTCTTTTAATGGAATTTATTTCCCGGATATACAATAGAATTGTTAACTGCAATTGCATAAGTCCAAATAAGGAATCTGGAAACACCCCCTGTGTAGAAGACGGATACATTCCTAACTGCTTGTTGAAGTGGTGTAACGTTGGGCACTCTCCGTGGCTATCATCTATAAGATTATTACAAACTACTCTGGGTATGAGTGTAAAGTCAAGGTGGTCTATCGTATTTTCTAGGGAAATTACTATGTTCTATTAGGAAAGTTATTAATCTTGACTTCTTCTCCGATTATTTTTACTATGCTTTTCTAAATAAGTAGCCATAATGACACAGTCAGATATTCATAAAAGACAAGGACTGAAACTGTGCAGATCATGGTTTTACACAGAGAACCAAGGTTTAAGAATTATGTAAGAGAATAAAAACATGAAATAAATGTTAATGATAATCCGGTCATTACCTAGAATAATTCAGTTAACATTTCTTGAGTACTAAGTGCCAAGCATTATGTTTAGTGTTTTATTTACATACCTCATGTAAATATATGTTACCAGAGAACAAGGAGGACCTCACCAACAGAAGAAAGATGGGCTGGAAAATACAGGTTTAGTCTCCAGGGGAGATCTATATAAGATTGCCTTTGAATGGCCCGAAATATTAGGAGGTGGGAGAGCAAAAAGCATCTTGAGTGACAGTTCTTTTCTGGGAAAAAAAAAGGGATCTAGAACACAGGCCCAGAGTGAAACAACCCTGGGAGGGTCAGTCTTTGGAATGTGGGGGTGGAGCTCTCAACAAAAATATCTGTCCCACCCTTCCCATCATTGGAGACCAGCACCAGTGCCAGAAAACTGCCGCATTCCAAAAACCACTCAAGTTTCTAGGGTCAGTCAAAACAGGTTTGGGAAGTGCCCCTTAGGCTAGCTGAAGGGACTCTTGTTACTGGGCAATAAAACAGTACTCTGGGAGGAAAAATAATACAAAGATTTAAGGCCCTGAGCAGGAAAAGTGGAAGTATTTTCTTAAGGTCAAATCCAGGTCAAAACACTAGAGATGTATTCTTGTATTCTGAGGCAGAGAGAGAGAGAGAGACACCACAGTAGATGCCTTAGAATAGAGTTTTGGATAAAACTTCTCCTCACTACCCTGGCTACCTCTCTTCTCTCACCCTCAACATCAGTTCTCTTCCCGCCCCCCACAAAGATGCTTTGTCAAGTGGTGAGTAAACACATCTCTGTGCTCACTCAGTGGCGAGTTCTCAACCCCACTTCCAAGGACTGCTGCCTCTAATTCCCTCTTCGATTCCCTTTTCCTGACCTCACCTCATTCCTTGCTACCCAACCGTATACAAACTGCCACTGGGCAGGAGGAGATGCTGGGGGAAAGGAGATTAAAGTCGTTTTATGTGTGTGTGGTTTGTTGTTTGTTTGTTTGTTTTAATGCTTTCAGAAAGGTTGTTAACGTCATTTCCAGATCCCGGGAACAGAGATAATCTCCAAGGTATCACTCAAATTAAGGAGACGGGACTTTTTTCCTCCCCCGTCCTTGTCCACGCATCAGTGGAAAGGAGGGCGGAGAGGCTGAGAGAAGAGGGAGGAGGGTGAAAGTGAGAGAAGCAAGATGAGAAAGGAGTGTAGAAGGAAGGAAGAGGTGATGGCAAGAAGAGAGGAGCGTTAGGGGTGGTGGTGAGCCCCAGGCGTCTGCCTTGCCCGTCCACCCTTCTGTGTTTGGGAAGCACCCGGGGGGCAGCGCCCTAGGGTCCGCAGCGCGCAACCTCTCCGCAGCCGCGAGACCGCAGGGGCGCCCCACTCTCCACCTGGTCTCCGCCGGCGCCCCGCCGCCCCTGCTCCTGCCTCATCACCGGATCTGAGGTCAAATTTTCCCGCTTCGAACCTCTGCAGAGTAGCGCTCGCGGTGAGTGTGCATCCCTGCGCCCAGTAAGGTGGCACGCAACTGGGAAGGAGAACGGGAGGAACCCTGGGCAGCGCCTGCCCCTGGGGCCAGGGAAGGACCTGCGGGGCTGCAGCCTAAGTGCTTTCCGACACTTTGGGGCGAATGAGCATTGCTGGAATAGCTTTTTCCCACTCTACTCAAAACCTCTGCTCCCTGGAGCGAAGTTTCGGGGAGCAGGCGTGGTCCTGGGTGGAGCAGGTGAACCAGGCTGGTGGGAGGACCAGGGCAGCAGTTCGATCCCGCAACACCCCACCTTTAGGACAAGCTCCAGTGCCCCTTGTTTGAGGACCCCCTGGGGTGGAGAGAGACGGGGCACAGGCCAAAATTCAGCACTGGAAAGACAGGAGAATCAACGAATCTGTTCCTCAAGGGTGACCTGGGAAGGATTCTTGGGGGAAATAATAAGATAAATGAGTAGCTGCACGGATTCATAGACTGGGAAAAGGTTGCAGTTTTAGAATTTGATTCCCTGCAGCGCAGAAGAGAGCTTCCACCGGGGATCGCAACCTGTCTGGGCTGCGGCAGGTCCTGCCCTGCAGAGGAAGGTGCCTTCCTCTTTGGAAGGGCGGTTGAGCAAAGAAGAAAGGGGAATCCAGGCGACAGTTCATATTCTGTATTTCTGTCCCCGAAGGGGCTGGGAGAGCCGCATTTGTGTCGCCAGTAAGTTAAGGGATGAAATGGAGGTGGTGAGCAAAAAATACATACGGAGCTTAGCATTTTGGGTAACCCAAATGATGGATTTGGGGTTTCGGTTATTTTCCTTTGCACTTAGAGGTGGCCCTTTATAAGCAGTGGATGAGAACATCGGATGCCAGGCGTTTCAGTAGAAACCTTAAGAGGACTTTATTTTTTGCAAGCAAAGTATCTCCCAGGCACCTTGCCGGTTGTTTCATGAACTGATTTAAGTGTATATCTACGATAACATATGCAGACAGCTCACCAGCCCCTCCCCTCAGTTTTTCTGGATTATCTATATAGTCAGCCAGAAAAAATGGGACATTCAAAGTGGGTTTCACGCTGATTCCATTTACGCATACATTTTTGAAATTTGATTTATTAATTAACAATCCAACAATCCCTCCCTTTGAGTTCCCTCACTTGTCCGTTTGTTGAGGGAAGCGGCATGGACTCCTAGCTGGCTGCTTTTGCTGAGGCAATGGGAGTGTCAACATAAAGAGCAGCAAAGCCAACCTGAGGAGGTGCCTGCCATCCATCCCCTAGGTTTGCTCTTGCTGTGCTTCCTTCCCCTTCCCTTTCTCCCTCTACAAACTCATAAGCAGGTTGAAGCATCATCACTTTGTGTTTCCTCCAAAGAAAGTGTAGCCCTCCTTCCCCTTCCCCCCATTCAGATCTGTGTGTCAAGGTCAGTTTTGGCAATTAAAACCATTTGTCTCCGATCAGAAGTGGTTTTCTACACTTTGGGTAGATTGTTCATTAAACTAAGATGTTTCTAGAACAAATGTTATACTCACCCAGCATTACCTTAGAAGTTCCCAAATGTGAAAAATAACTTAGATTACTTATTGTGTTCTAGAAATTTTAGTATTGTTTCACACCCCCTTTGATCAGTGTAAATCATTTATTTGCCAATCTTTATACACTGAGACTTATTGTGGAGCTGATGAGCCTAACTGATATCAAGGGGTTATTCTCTTTCAACAGTATATAAAGATCTTTGTGGGAAGGGTTTAAAAAGGAATATATTTTTTGTCGCTTTGCCTCATTAGGCAAATTATGTAGATGCCAGGACTGAGCAATAGCACATTTTAAAGGCAGCTTTTTCATTGTTTTTAATTTTAAAAATGTTATTGCTTAACTAGTTTTATAAAGTGCTTGGATATACTGTTCTTATAAAGACTACTACCATAAAGCTGCTAATATAAATAATATGACACACCTTTCTTAGGAATTTTTTAAATTTAAAATTGGATGCATATCTCTTTTCAAAGACTTGCAAAATTACAACTTATTTCTTAATTGGAAATGAGAGGAGTGATAGTTTGAATTTTCTTATTTAGTAAATATTGTCCCTTTTGAATTTAATTAGCTATTATTTAAATCATTTCAAAGATTTTTAAAGAGCACTTTCTAGTCTATTAATAATAAATGGCTAGTGTAAAGCAACATAAACATGCTAATTTTTAAAAGGCCTTGACAGGATTCTTTATTTTTTTAAATATTAATTTAAAAGGTGGGAAAGATGTTATATGAGGCAGAATAAACAAGGTGCTTCTTGAATGCTGTAACTGAAAGCACTGATAATCCTTAGGTGAAGCGTCCAGGGATCCCTCGGGAAGCATCTGTAGTGATCTGATACAGAACCACAGCATCTCTGCTCCACAGTGGGAAACCTTGCTTTTCCATCCCCTCGGCCTTAAATTACACAGGCAAGAAATACTAAGTTCTGCTCTAAAGTGAAAAACTCATGAAGAGCAGTAAAGAAACTTAGAATTAGCATCTGACATCTATAACAGAAATGATTATCTCCACTTGAAAAAAGTACATGGAGAAATATTTCAGAGCCTAAGAATGAATGTAAGTAGGCAGAGAGTATGTCAGTGAGTGGACTTGAGTATTAAAGGGGAGGGGACTGTTCTGATCTGATCATTTCTCTTGATGGTGTTTCCTTCGCTCAGAAGTAATGGGTGGGGCCTTTTGACCCATGGTAAAGAGTATCTGTTTTCTTCTGTGCACAATGGAAAGCCATTAAAGCATTTCTTGTGGGAAACTGTTTACCAGTATCCACCTGCTATTGTGTCAAGATGATCTGGTGAAAGACAGAGGGTAAGCAAGGAGGCTGTCAAGAATATACTAGAGTTTCCTTGTCTGTCTTTAACCAGAGTGATAGCAGTAGAGATGGTAAGAAATGGCCAAAATCCTGGACATACTTGAAGATAGAAAAGACAACACTTGATAACAGATTAGATGCGGTTGCTGACAGATCAAGTTTCACGCCTAGATTTATGACCAGAGCAACTGGAAGAATACCATTGTTACCAACTGATATGGGGAAACTAAGAAGAAGCAGTTAAGTTTTGAGTGCTAATTAGATATTCAGGGACAAGCATCAGAAGGGTAGTTGGGCCAGAACAGTGGAACTTCATGAGACAATTTTAGAAAGACTGTTTTTAAAGGATCAGACTGAGAAAAGAGCTCTAGAGCAGTCCAAAATATAGGCATTGAAAAGAGTAGGAGCCAGAAAAGGAAACTGAGAAGGAGCGATTGGTGAAATGGGAAATCATAAAGGTATGATGCTACGAGATCCAAAAGAAGAAAGTATTTTATAAAAGAGGAGGTGATGGTCAGCTATGGTCAATGCTTCAGAAGAGTTAGCTTGCATGAGGACAGAGTTAGCTTGGAATTTTATTTGATCTTGATAGGAACTATTTCAACTGATTTGGTAGGGACAAAAGATGGATAAGGATTGAACAAAGATTGGTGACTGGTGACATAATGATTCTCATCTTAAGAATTTATCTTACATGTATGTTTGCAATTAGGAAAAATAATATGTATTTAAAGTTACTCCCTGCTATTTTTATATATGTAAATGTTGAAAAGAAATACCTAGAAAACAAGCAAAATAAACTATGTGCATTCATTGAGTGGAATATTATTCAGCTGTTAAAATTAATAAAGCAGTTTTCTATGTACTAACATAAAAAATCTTCAAAGTATTTTAAGAGAAAAAGTTGCAATATAATGTGCATGGTATGTTATCAAATATTAAATAACAAAGAAAAACAAACCTATAGGAGGGGGACCCAAGAAAACCAGAATTATCTTCTAGAATACTGGCCCCCTTGTAGTACAGGCTTCCCCTGCTAGATGAGTATTCTAAGAACCCATCTGTTTTAGTATATCAGCTGGTGTCATTGTGAGAAGCTGTGTTTGGCTTTGCTAAATATTTCTTGGAAGCCTGTTTCAATGCCTTTGCCCATTTCATGATGGATGATTTACAAGGGCACCTGTGCGCACAGCACTGAGTGTTCAGCAGTCTTTGACCAAAAATGGCGTGACCCCGGGGCCCCACCCTCTCTATTCACCTGACCTCACCCTCAAGTGACTTTTTTTTGTTTCCCCAATGACAAAAGTCCTCAAAGGAAAATGTTTTACCAGTGTGGAAAAGGTAATAAAAAGGCATCAAAGCACTAAAACACATTAAAAATCAATGAGTTCAAAAACCGTTTTGAGCAGTGGAAGACATTTCAATAGGTGTATTGCACCAAATGGAGAGCACTGGGAAGGTGACTGAAGTTTAAACATGTAAGAATAAATACACAATTTTTTATAATTAAATTCCTGTTTTGGGGATCCTCCCTCGTACATGAAACTGATACAGGGTGCAGCCAAGGGAGTCCCCCAGAAAAGATTTGGAATGGTGTCCAGAATTCAAAGTGTATAGGAATATTGGAGAGACATATAAGATGTCCTCACCCCTTCCCCCACAGGTGTGAGTTGGGGAAGGGACACATAAAGCAGGAACATGAAGGGCTGTTTTGTACAGCCACAGTTTTGCAGCTAACCTCTGGAATGGTCATTTAACATATCTATAACCTTTAACTGGTTTCATAGATATGTTAAATAGCTGTGGCCAGGCTTGGGGCTTGGAGCTAGGGGGATGAAGTCACTTCCCCCAAGATGTAACTGTGGGCAGGTCCCCTAAGTTACAGTGCATGCGTGGGAGCTTGGAGAAGATTGGCTCCAGGACATGGGGCAATACCTGCCCAGACTAACGATGGCAGCCCAGTAAACTGGTAATAATACAGAAATACTGGCAGGTGTAACTGATCATGGGAGGAGTCGGAAATAGGGGTACAGAAGAAGATGGGTGCGAGGATTTAAAAGCCAGACAAAGCAGCCATTAAGGGAGAGCCACGCGGTTTAGGGCAGAGTGAGGACCCCTGCAGTCATGTAGGTGAGAGCCACGCGGTTTCAGTAAAGTAAGAGTCCCCTCTTGG